CAATCCCTGACATTCTGTGATTCTGTGAAGGGCCTCTGCATGTTGAGGTCACTGTGGCACATTACTTTCTCTTTTTTTTTGGATTTATGTCCATAACCATACTCTGTTTTCTTCATATTCTATGCTTGTGCTTTTACTGTCTACTTTGCATGTTTTCCAATTCCAGGGGCAGTTCAAAAACTCAGCAAAAATCAAATGCTAACAAATTCTTAGACTTAAACAAGTTTGAGACATTTAAGGCTAAAGCATTTATCTTGTTTGCCTCTCACAGGCAGGTCTAAAATAAATAATTGCAGATATAGTGTAGCCAATCACTTTCAAGAAACATCCCAAAAGATTGGAAAGAAATAGTGAATAGACTACTTGCTCTGTTCTACACCTGCTGCTCACAGGACTGAATTTCAGAACTGTATCTTGCAATATGAAGGATCAAGTCATAACACATTCAAATTAAATGCAAAAAACCAATCTAAGTATGTAAAGATTGCAATCAGAGCAAATGTAGGGGCAGGAAATTTATTAATGTGCTGGACTCAACACCTCACAATATTTTTACTCTATTTTAAACCTTGCAATCCTTCAGAACGCTCTAGCTGCAGTAAGTACAAACCACAGCCAGTTATTGCAGAGAGGACACAGGTTAGTGCTCATTTCCCACAGCACATTTACCTTGCAGGGCTGCCAGATTCCTCTGCGGCAGCTTCCTTGCATGATATCAGTCGTCTTTGAATGGCAGGTGCAATATCCTTTAGAAGTGAAGTTTTGTGCTTGCCTACTTCAAATAAGATTACAGTTAAAAGCTGGACAAAAATAATGATTTATCAAAAAAAAATGACTTGCATATTTTCACAGAGTATTTTTAACATGAAAGATTACATATTCAATTAGATTTTCACTATTCTCCATTAATTATTGTGTATTTCAGCAAATCAAAATAGCAAGATGAACTCTATGAGGTATCAGACAGTTGCATTTTTAAACTCACTGCACGAAGTCCAAAACTTAACAACATAATTTACAAGTCATATAACCTTAAATCCTGTAGAAAAATGATAAATTAACACGATGAAAAATGCCTGTTTAGCTGTATAAGAGCTCAGCTTTCAAAATGTACCACATAAACAAACAAAAAAAAATGGTTTGACTGACCTTTAATTATAATCACAATATAGAGAGTAGCTGTTACACTAAAAATCCCTTCAATTTCTTCAGAGAGAATGCATCTCATTAATTCATCTAAAAATGAACTAAGAAAAAAAAATAAAGCAAAAATATGTTATAAATCATGTTTCCTTGCAGACAGAACTGCACAGAACAAGGTTGTGATTATGCTACCCGGTCACCACAGCTTCAAAGCCACCACGCAGGGCAAAGCAGTGGTTATTCTGCAGCTGAGGACCATGGTGGCTTCTGCAACCAAGAGTACTCAGTTGTCTGATGGTAAATTGCTTGGGGGAAAATAAAGAAAGTTTGTACACAGAACAAGTAGCTGTTAAGTTAACTGAAGAGCTCTTGAACTATTCTGGGAAAGTCAATCATTAAATAACCTACTGATTCTACTGAAATTCACCTCACATTAAGCTGTACTGATATTTCTAAATTCAATTTCTACTCAAGTTTAAAAAATACCTTATATGACTCTAATGGTTTATTAGTAACTACTCATGCCCTTAAAACTATTACTACTTGTAGCCTGATTAGAAACGAGAGTTTAATTCACACTTTGGCTTAAAAAGCGCATCTCAAAAATTAAAATAGATGGGTTTCCAATTACAAAAGAGTGAAGAATGTTTATAACTAAATACAGTCTCGAAACACTACATTTTGTATATTTAAAGTATGGATGGACTAATAGAACCAAAACAACTGTTCACTGTAAAATCTGAGATAAATACTAACTCAATACGGATCTTTGGTGTCTCACTTTTAGCAAGAGATGATAGTATTACCAGGACTTCTAGGGATTACACGTTAGCCCCTTGATCATTTAAAATAAGTCTGGTGTCTATAGTCACATAAATAAAAACTGAATGTAAAAAAGCTAAGCAAAATGAAATTCTCTTGTGATAGTTTTACAGGATATTCAGGGTATCCACCAAATATGGCAAAAAAACAGTTTAAGTCTTTAAAAAAATGACATAACCCTACTTTTGGGGGGTTTTAGGGCTCAGATACTTTAAAACTATTTGGAATTTTGTGATTTTATTACAGCTGTAAGTACATTTGTCACCTCATTGCGGATGTTCAGTTAAAGGATTAATACTATTTCTGGTAAATATTGTCTCTCATCTAAATACCTCTACCTTGAAGGGTATCATAAGTATCTTATGAAAGAAGCAAGTCAAGATGGACAATTAAAGAATTCATTTAGCTGAGCAGTCTTATAAATAAGCAGCACTATTGGAAGCAGTTAAAAAAAATGGAACCAACCCCTCCAAACAATACCTACGAGCAAGATGTCAAGAGAAAAGGATTATGCAGTAGTGTAGGTAAATTTAGTAAGAATCTAGGTTCCTCAACCTTTATTCGAATTTAGAAATCAAAACTTCATTGACAACATAGAAGCTGTTCTACATTAGCAACAACCTTGGACAAATTCATGTAGAAACACTTACCTAACAACATTAACCGACTTCATAATTATAGCCATTAAACTGCTTGAAAGAGGAGGAAGGTCTGAAATAGTCTTTGGTATAGTTAAGTCTTTTTCACTGGAAGCCTAAAAAAGAAAAAAGTCAACAGCTGTTGTAGATCAAGAAATGCACATATGCAGAAAACATCAAAACAAATCTGTATTTCAATAATTACACTAAGACTTAAATAATTAGAAGAAATATTCACATATGTTCTTTGAATAGCCTTAATCCAATTGTGTTGTGTCCAAATAAACAAAACAAATTTAAATTTGTTTTGCTAAGAAAGACTAAAACTAAAACAAATAAACGGTATTTTTGTATAGGCAAATATTATCCACAGTTGTTCTGAATAGAAGTTTCAAGTAACTACATTGTTGGTCACTATTTATGAAGACAGAGCCTACTAAACACATATGAGTATCTTTGTGTCTCCAAGTTTAAACGTGCATACATAATTTCTAAAGAAAAATGTAGGTGACTGATTTTCTGATTCCCTGTGTCAGCTCTTTTTGGTATCAAGCATTGAATAGCATGGCAAGTATTTAGCTAGAACTGAAATTTGATTTACTAGGACAATACCCTGAGGGCAGGGAAAAGCCCAGCTCAGATGACTTACTGCAATGAGCATTCATCATCTGTGAGTATGAATCTGCAGCATCATTCAAGACCATGAACTTTTACTGGGCAGCATCTGCAAAGAGCCCGCATCACCCCACAGCCTCCCCGCTGACACACTAATATTTGCAGGCAAAACTCTGGCATTGTTTCCATTCCTTCTGTAAATACAGAAACCTAGAAGCAGCTCAGTTGTACTCTACTTTCTGACAACTATTTATTGCTCTATTTCTTACCCATCTAGCAACTACAGTAAGAGTACAGCCTCTGCTAAAGAATCTCTTCCTTGTTAGTTCTCAAAGCTTCCAATCTGACGAGCCGTATTTACTCCTAATGCTACCTGCATTAGGAATATGCGCTGGGAATGTTGCCCTTCTCCTGATGGTTCCTTGGACTTTCAGCACTTACAATAACCTCTGTCGGTATATTCTTTTAGCATTAGAGCTTGTTACTTTACTTTCCCAAGAAACTCGGATATTTGAAAATTATCTAGACAGAAACCAGAGATCTGTCAGAGATCAGTGGTTCACTTTAAAAAGTTCCCTGATGCTGGGTGAGATGAAGTGAGGTAGATTTTAGAAAAACCTTCTTTTCTCCTCCTTTCTCTGAGGTTTTATTGCTGAGCACATTGTATGGTATGGAATATGATTTTTGTCAGTTTGGGTCAATCACCTTGGCTGGGTCCCCTCTCAACCTCTTGCCCACCCACAGCCTGCTTACTTTTTTTTAGAGCAAGGGGTGAAGGGAAGAAAATCTTCACACACTGCAAGCACTCTTCAGCAACAGCCAAAATTAACTGGCTGTCCTCAGTAGTGTTTTAGTCACAGCTGCAAACCAGAGCACCACAGGGGCTGCTGGCAAGAAAGTTAACTCCTTCCCAGACCCAGTACAAAAACACACAGAGAGAATATCTCAGAAACCACGTTGTTCATTTCCAACACCACCTACTTTCGCAATTCTTCTGTCAGAGGCAGACAGTGAATAGGTATTAGGAAAACCATCTTCTTAGACGGCTGTATTCATCAATCTGAGAGATATGCCATAATATGAAATTATGGCAAATAAAATTTCCTGTTTGTTCCATGCCAACACACGCAAAATCTTAATCTGCAGTACAAAGTTCACACTTTCTGAACTCAGTTCTGTTGTTCCAATGTAACATTTAAAAAGCAGTAAGTGTAAAATAAAGAAAAAAAGTCAGCATTAATTTTACCTTCTGTAGCACATCATTTATCTCTGCTATTATTGCAGCCAGGAGAGTAGAGAGTACCCCTTGGTGAACTGCTGGGCAAGATGAATGCCAGCACTGCACGGCGTGTACGAATTCTCCAAGAGGCATTTGAATAAAGTGAATTAACTAAAACCAGAGAAAAACAAATCAGGGTTTTTTTCAGATTACTTGAGTACAATTGAAATATTTCAGCAGGCTTCTCCGTGAAGAAGTGCAGGTAACACCTTGGAAGGTATTGAGGTATTCTAGTCACGTGGGATCAGAGGGGAATTAGCAACACGTTTGGGAAGTCTAGTCATAAATTTGATAGGAACACATGAAGCAATGGCCGTAACAAATAAGAAATGGATGTTTTTCAGAAGTCCTGAAGAGCAGATCATCACATCCTTCAGAATAATTCACTCATCTCACCGTTGCCTAGTCTGTGCTCTGAAACACAAGAAGCTAACTTTTCTGTAAAGAAAGGAGGTTTTGAAGAACTTTAGCACATCATATTTTGAACCTTACATAATTCAGGCCGAAATAAATAGAATAACAACAATTTCTTCTTCCTTCTAAGATCATAATAAATAGAATTATTTGCTCTGAATTGAGAAAGTTCATTTACTTGCAGGTTAATAACCCATAAGTTCTAGCATAGCTCAGGATCATTGGTAACAGAATGTGTTGTTCCCCAGTTTACTAGTTTTACTGTCATGATGAGTCCAACAATGGATAAAAAAACCCACACTGATAAAAGGGAACCTTAAGAAAATTTAACTGAAAATTTAATCAGATGTTGGCTCAAATAAAAACCTGAAAATATCTAAGTATAAGCCATTTGCATAAGAAGTATGGATTCATCTACACATTAGGTAGCAATTCCAAGTGTAATATAATACCTGAATCCCTTCTTCCTGCTGTTTCTTGAGCATACGTGCCACACATTCTAAAACTTTCTGGAAGATGGTCTGTACAGCATGGAAAAGATTTGCCACTTCATCTGTCTCGGAATACTGAGTTAAAGAAGCTTCAGTAATTTCTTTCAGAGCATACAGTAACACTGGAGCACAAAAGCCACCTCTCTCTAGAGAAAGCGATAAATACCACGATATAGAAATTATGAGATACTCTTCAGGTACAAGCTTAGAATGAAACTCAGTTATATAGCATAAAAAGCTACAGCTTACAAGCATAGGCAATACATTTCGTTTCTGAGGATCCTTGGCTGAAATTTTCATACAGTTAATAAAACAGCTCTAGTTTTGGCTGTACTGTAGACGTAACTTTCCGAATGTGAGCCACATCTCAATAGTGCTACAGTGTTGTCACCTATGGCTTATGGATACATATATCTCTCAATATACATCTATCACTCTCTCTCTCTCTCTCTGTACATGTATATATATATATACACACATGTATACATATATACATATATATACATAGATGTGTGTATATATATATACACATATATATATGTGTGTGTATATATATATATTTTAATATATATATATAAAAGCCTCCAAACTACACAACAATAACTGGCATCTAAGAGCACGGAAGAAACATTAGTTAACAACAGTGACATGGTTCTGGGTTTGTTCTCTGCTTGTTTTCAGTCTGGGCAGCATAAGCTGAAAACACCATTTTTGGAGAAACAGACTCCAAAATGCTAAAAGCAACAGTTCTGCTTATAATAAGGCAGCTAAGCATATATGGAGATGTTGATGTTAGTACAAAATATTATACCTGTTTGTATAACTGAAAGACCCATATCTAAAACATGTGCTTGAAACGCGAGATTTCCAAGGCCAACCATTATGACATCTTTACATACTGTCAGATAGGCCTAGAGAAGAGATGCAAAAGAATAAGAGAAACATAATTTATATGAAATAACCATTCAGTAAAATCTAAAAATAATAAAACCAGGAAAACTTAGCCAAGTTGCCCTGAAAGTTGATACATCTACTTGGAGTCGCTCAGCTGGCAACCTTTGAAAAGCAGGAGTTGCAAGCAGTTCTCCAATGCTTCCACTGCCCTTCCCTCTCATAAACACAGTTTCTCAAAGAGCAATAAATCCTCTTTTACTCAGACTCAGATCAGAGCCATTGATACTTAAAATTTACCAAAGCAGAATATGACATCTATCTCCACCCACCTCGAACAGCAAAATTAAAAACAGCATACAAAAGAGCTTTTCCCTAGAGATACACACACGTTACATACTTAACAGATGATAATATTAACATTTAGGCAAAGTAGAGAATTTTTAAACAATCTATGCATACTAGAACTGGGTTGTTCAAGGGCACTGACTGACTAAAGTTAGTGCAAATCCTTCCCTTGACCAAAATTTCAAGGATCCGTAGCTCAATGCTAAAATCTACCTTAGGTTAAAAGGATATTTCGGAGGAATGTAGCAGAATATAAATCAAAATTAGCTAAAAACACCCCATATTCATATAATCAAATGCTTCCTGTGAAGGGCAAATAAAAATAAGGGGTAAGGGACACTGTCAGTGATGACACTAGGGTTTGTGTCAGAGGGCCTATCATCCCTATTCAACAAATCAGTGGCCTAAAGAGAACAGCCCTGCAAGGAATCCCTGCCCCCAGCAGGAAGTGTAAAATTAAGTAACAGACCAAGCAGAGAAGGAAGGGTGAAATAAGAAAGAATGGGGTATGTTGCAGAGTAAGCGATAGAGAACTTTAAGTGGAAAAGAAAAGACACCGTAGTCCCCTCTCATATACAACAGTATAAAAGAAGCAACTGTAATTATTGTATGTCATATGGATATTTTGAGACAAACTAGGTCAGCTTTGAATACCAGCAGTGTCAGTAAATAAGCACTCCAAATAACTCAGATGTACAATCAATCCCTCATTCCAACAAAAAACAATATACAAAGTGAGAAGCAAATAGGAGCTGATTAACAAGGATGTGGTTTATTACAGGAGATGCAAGAGGCCTGGCTTCTCTTCTTGACTTCCAGACAAGCCACTGCAGTCTTTACACCTCTGCTTCTTCTCTGGAAAGAACAATGCACATGGACTTTACGATCCACTAGTAAGGGCCATTGTCTTTCGTTACTGGCTACTCAAGTAATGCATCAGACGGGTTGACAGGTGACAACTGCCAATCTTATTACTTATCAATAAAGTTTTGGTTTCATTTTGTATTCAAAGCTAAGAAACTGATAGTAAGTATTTGGGTAACACTGGTAACACATTTCGTGTTGTGCCTTTCTATAAGACGAGTTCTGTGCCTCCAAGCTTTTCATAAAGAGCCACAAAAGAGTTATGATACCCATACTAAGTTTTTCAGTCAGAGAGAAGAGACAATAGCATAGGAAACACACAAGAAACCTGTACCAGGAACAACTACAACACTTGATTGAGTTTCCTCTCTCTTTACACCTTTCAAAAAGCCATTTGGCTGCCGCAGTGGGATTTAGTACAAGATTACTGAATTATTATAATCCTCATTATTAAATCCCCAGGCAACTCACATCCTATCAGTCTGCTGACTTCCAAAGATACGTTCTATGGGACTTGGCACTAGAACGAAGCATACGGAATTCCTCAGGGTATAATTTTACCTATTTCCTTTGGGAAAGTCGGAAGGAAAAGAAGAAATGAAGGAAGAAAATAAGCAAATAAACATGATTAAATCTAAATCTAAATCCTCTCCCATAATCACACCACTTCCTGGTCCTCTAAGCATCTTCTTTTGTGCTACTCAACACAATGTAAGCAGCTGCAGTGATTCTATCATTTCCAGGATCTTCTACACTGCAGAACAGGCTATTAAGTGCTAGCATACCACAAAGCTATTCTCTTGTTCTCAGCAACTAATTTTCTCCTCCTTTTCAGAACTGAGATTCAGTGACAATTTTAACACTGTGTTAACACACTTCTCATAAAACAGCATGAACACTATTTAATATGGGGGATGTGAGACTAAGAACAAGAACTACTTGTTAGAAATTAAAATCTAGGATACCCTGTTTACATCACCTGCTGTGCTACAAATTTCTTGAGGGGGCATTTTCACAACTGTGAAATATAAAATATGTTTCATCATCTTTTTAACAGATATGATGAGAATATATATTATGCATTGGTAGGTGAAAAAAGTCTCTAAGACAACAAGGTATTGTTGACTCCAACTAATTGCTAGGGTACGCACAATTACATTTATGTATTTTTATATTTATAAAATATAAAGGTTATAACTAATATCAAAGTGATTTTCTTTAAAAAAATGTGTGTGATTTTAAGCAATCGAAGGAATATCAAAAGAACAAAACTGTAACCTCAGAACAGCGAGGACTGTGTTTCATTAGCTCATTCACTTGCTGGGGTCCAAAACCAGCAGTGCACTATATTTGTCAGTACATAATTGCCACAAATATGGCTTTTCGGATGGGCAGCAGTTTGATTTATAAGAGACCTCTAACCTGGATAATTAATTCAGAAACATGACTGGGTTTTGAAATGACATCCTCTTGATCACTTGCTAGCATACAAGGTACAACTTGACTTTCTATCCAAGCACCTGTCTCCTTCAGAAGTGAGAGGTAATCTTTTCCTTCTTCAGAAAACTGGAAAAATAAAAATAAAGGGTTACCAGTTATCTTTCCAGTTCTTTTGGAATACTCTTATACTGTCAGCTGTAACTCCAGCTTATATTGAAAAGGTGTAACTTTACCTTGTTCTGAAGATGAATAGTCAATCTGCAAAAGAGGCTGAAGGCTCTTAGGCCAGTTGCTTGATTGCAGCTACTAGAACCGGCACCAGTTGCTTTCAAAAGCGAGGCAAGAATCTCCTGAAATAATTTTACAATTATATTTTCCAGAAAAAACTTTCAAATATTTCTTTTCTCAACAGCTTTAAACAAAAGATTAAAAAACCAGAACACACACACACAGAAAATCTCCAGCCCCCCCAAAACAAGTATACTTCCAATTACTTTCATTATGCAATGCCATAACTGATTTTCATTATTCCTTATATGTACATTCTGAAAGTCAGGTTCCTTTAAAAATGCTCAATACTGTATCACAAAAATTTCAATACAGCTAAAAATGACAAACCAGTTAAAATCTGCCATCTATAAACAATTTTGAATATACATCTAAGTTTAGAATATTTGTTTGAAGTACAAACTGAAAGAAAATCCTTTTTGTAGGGAGGAAGAGAGGTTCATGAATCTCATTTATTTACTCGAGCAGGCCTTTAATTAGACTCAGGCAGTATATGGTGTTAAGCACTCTTATAAGCACTCTTCATAATGAGGAGAATACTACCTTTGCAGCACTGAGAATTTTCAAAAGCTTCTTCAGTTTCTTTTCAGGAACAGAGAGCAGGCAACCACGATTAACAGGATGAGTCAATAAATATTCAATGTAATCAATTGCTAATTCTGGCTTCAATTCCTGTGTTACATTTATACGTACTCGTCGCTCGGATGTTTTAACACTCTAAATGAGAAGAAAGCACAAAACCAGTACAATATTGTTAGTATCTTTACAACTAATTCCAAAGCAGAATAATACAGCATTAAAGAGGCTGCTTCTATTAAAAAAAACACAAACACCCAAACCCCTAATGCCTTTATGTAATCTAGTAGTTCCTCAATTCTTTGACATATGCATATGCACACCTTTCTTGGGGTTAATGTGTCAGACAACCAATCACAGGCTAATTCCATAATATGTCCCACTTGACCCCAGCTACACATGCAGTCTATCAGGCTAGAATATTTGCTTTGGTCAGCTCCATTGTCAATATTTCTGAGTCGGGAGATCACACCACAGCTTAAAAGAAAACAAACAGACAAAGAAGAGATGCATTAGCTTTACATTCATAATGGCAGAAATAACATAAAGAAAATCAATGAGTATAATACCAAAAAAGATTCACCAATGGCTCAAAAACGTACTTGAACCTCACAAATTTTACAGACTTGTCAAGTTTTTTAGTGGATTAATTTATACCCAAGTGGGAATCAAAGTTGAGGAAAATTAACAAATACAGTCAACAAGAGATTCCTAGTCATTCATATTTTGGATTTAAAAATACTACCTGAATGTAGGAATAGCAGCAGGGGGCATAAAGGATGCCAGAATAATCAATGGAGTAATGCAACGCTCCTCCTAGGATAAAAAAAAGTACATCACATGATGCACAGGTAAACACATGCACACAAAAAAAGCACTTGAAAAGCATGATTAGATTATCTGAAATTAGGATTTTCCCTTTTCTCACTAGAAATGGAACACGCAACACGTGGCTTACAATCTGAAGCGTCTGATTCATATTCTAAAAGGTCAGTTATCAATTATTTTATCATTCAGCTTTCTAACAAACTCAGAATAGCTAATTATGGCTCCATTAGATTAACAACCATTGCAAAAGGAATAACAGCTCTAGTTTACCTTTTTTTCTAGTACTGGCCAATATTTTATTGCAGTCATGACAGTATCTAATTTCTCTCAAGTCATTACTGTCTTAAATGAATATTCATTCACACCGGAAATTTATAAAAAAGGCTCTAAACGAAAGGGTGTTTGTGTGTAACAATGGTAGTGTAAAATGCAGGACACATCATAATACGAGGCCTAGACCACAACATAATCTCATTTGATTAATACAGAAATCAATCTGTGTGAAACTCTTAAAAAATAGTCTATTTGTATATCCAAGCTTCATGAATACAACCAAATGAAATTATTACCTACTTACACATTGGAAGGTCTAAAAGCTTTTAAAGATGATTTTTCAAAAGACATTTAAAAATACATTTGTAGCTTTTTAGGAAAGAGGGATGCTGGTTCAATCTGTAGTCTTTTAGAAACTCAGTCTCTGATGACAGATCTTTTTATTTCCAAGCTGCTTACTCGCTATAAGAATATCAAAGTCCAAGGGGTTGCTTGCTAAAGCTGAGTATCTTGTCTGCTCACCAGAACTTATTCAGGAAGGATGTTACATCCTCTACCAAAAAAGATTTTGGAATGTCTTTGACAACTTCCAAATGCTTTCGGGGTACAGAGAGCATTTGGTATATCTGTGCTGCAGAATTTAGAAATAACTTGCTTTCCCCTTCCTGATTATCTAAAGCAAACTTGAATGCTGTCAACTGCCAGCATAACTCCTAACTCAGTATATATCAGCATAAAAGCCATAATCCAAGGAAAAAAAAAAACACACAAAAAAGTTATCCAGTAGATAATCCTTCAAAATGCACTACAGGGTGCTGCAGGCACTGTTAGCCACTATCAAAGCACAGCATCCTGAAGAGTAACACTAGAACAATTAAATGGATCAAGGAGACTGAAATACAAAAATGACTGATTTTAATCAATTGCTTATATCAAACCAAGGCAATAAGTACATTGAAAGATCAATAGAGACAAGAATCAAATTAGCAGGAACCAATCACAAGAAAGTAAAAAAGGAGCCTCAGCTGCTTCAGCTGTCTGTTCCAGCAGCTGGATCATAAATAAGAAGTGATGGTGGTGGAAGAGTTTAGGAGGGAGTGGGCAGAAGAACATATGGACTGTCTTGTACACTAAGTATTTATTCTGCAATGGTACATTTTCAGTTACTGGTTTCCAAAAGTTCCAAAAACATTCAGAAGAGTGGAATCTCATAAAAACATTACAAGGAGAGCGATTTATTGCATAAGTATTTCTGCACTGACAATTTAGATAATGGTTCCTCAGTCAGATATTGCAACTGGAGAGCAGCTTCTACCCATTTGTTGAATTCCAAGAAACTTGCTATTGTTTATGGCAATAATGAAAAAGAATACTTTATGTCATGAAAACGGATAAAAGACATAACACATTAAAGCATCTGAAGAAAATACAAAGCACTTACAGGAAAATTTAGGCTTTCTTTACCTTAAATACTTTAAAATACTCGGGAAGTACAGAAGCAAATTTTCTGATAGTATAATCTTTGGCATCTTCATTGTGATCTAGTGCTTTGCGGATACTTCTCCAGAGAATTACAGTTATCTCCAATAAACCTGCCATGCTGGCCACATCATTTATTGACAACACATTATTCAATACCTGAAATAAAAACATTTAGATATTACCTACTATATTCTCAAATATAAATTTAGGTTTGAAAAAATAAGGTTTGGAAAAAAACTGAAAATCCTTCTAGTCATTTTACAAGGGCATTGCCTTTGTTGCAGAGCATGAACTCTGTTACTCAGTCTTCCACAGAGATAACTTGAATCCTCTCATGACTTGAATTTTTTGAATAACTGGATTGCAAAACCAAGCCAATTTATAATTAGTACTGGAATTAGGGAAGTAGTAATTTAAAGTATGTTTTATATTCCTTCTATCTTATTCTAACTAGTTCACCAAATTTCTGCTGTTGCAGGGCACAAAAACACCGTTAAGGGCAGTTCTCCCCTTCCACTGATGTCCAAGTGATTTCCCTTAGATTTCTGTCCTATCATTAACCACCTATGTTTCAAATTAAGCACCTCAGAAAAAAAAAAAAATAAAATCAGAATTTATCATAAAGTAGACTTTCTTACACTTGTATTCTCCTTTTCACTTTCATCATCGTTTTCGCCGCTATCATGAAGACTCTCTTTCATCGATTTCTGGATGCAGGCATTCAAGCAGCGTCGAATAGTAAGCATTAATTTAGCTACATTTAAATATAATAAGAATAAATTAGACATTTACTATTTGTAAGAATGTTGTTAGTAGATGCTCTAATTGTAAGGCTAAAAAGCCAGTCTGAAAAAGCAGTCAACAGAACTACAAATAACAAGGGAAAAAGTATTTCCTGGTAAAAAGAAATAGAAAAAATGTGAAAATTTTATATTCTCAAATATAAAGAAGAAACAGTGTCTTGGTTTCAACTGGGATAGAGTTAACTTTCTTCCTAGTAGCTGGTACAGTGCTGTGTTTTGGATTTAGCGTGAGAACAATGGTGATAACACACTGATATTTTAGCTGTCACTCGGCAGTGCTTATCCCAAGTTAAGGATTTTTCAGTTTCCCGTGTTCTGCTGACGAGCAGGAGCACAAGAGGCTGGGAGGGAGCAGAGCCAGGAGAGCTAACCTGAACTACCCAGAGGAATATTCCACAACACAGAACATCATGATGAGTGTATAAACTGAAGTGGGTGTTGGCCAGGAGGGGCTGATCACTGCTCAGGCACTGGTGAGCAGGTGGAGAACAGCTGCACTGTGCATAACTTATCTTTTCCTGGGTTTTATTCTTCCCTATTTTTGTTGTTGTTATTATTATGTTTTACTTTAGGTATTAAACCATACTTAACACATGAGCTTTAGTACTTTCTTTCAATTCTCCTCTCCATCCCACTGGGGGCAGGGAGGAGCGAGCAGGCAGCTGCATGGTGTTTAGTTGCTGGCTGGGGTTAAACCATGACAAATGGCAACATTAACACCAGGTTCAACAATTTTATTGTTAAAAAAATTCATTGAAAAAGCCCAGGCCAACCACCACCTTGTCAAACGATGAGAGGAAGCTCTCACAACTCCGATGTGCATCTGGCACAGCTATTCATTACTGACCTATGTTCAATAATACATCCCCTCCAATGCCAATTACAATTATTTATAAAAGATGCAGTAGCATTGCACTCCTGAAGAAGCTCTAGAGACAAAAGTGAAAGAGTTATGTCCACTCTGGTGAAAGTATGACCAGCTGAAATAAACTAGCACATGTTATTTCAAAACTACCTTACCGAAGTAATCAGTCAAGGGGCATTTTACCCAAGTCACTCCATGCTGACTACTTTGTTTTTATAGTACCAGAACTCCTCTGAAACTATTTTTTCCCAATTTTGCTTGGTTCAATAGCACTTTTATAAAACCCAGCCATACTCTGTGCAGTACCTACCCTTTTTTCACTGAAAGCTTCTGAAACTTTTAATAGGAAGGAAGGGCTTTTTAAATTTTCTCTCAGCAACTTGAAAATCCTACTGATGAAATCCCAGACAATCAGATTATCAGACAGAAATATTTTTCACATTCTATAAAGTCTTCCACATAAAAGATTTCAAATCACTTGAGACATCAGAGTATTTTATTGTACTATTTCTACACAAGAAATCAATACCAACTTAGTTTTAAGGCACATGTGAAGAGAAAGGGGAAAAGAGAGAGCAGATAACACCACCAGCTAGAAAGTATAGCACAGCGCCTCAGAGCAGAAATGAAAAGCTTTCATCTCTTCATTGTACAAAACATTTCTGATTGTTGTCAGCAGGGTTCATGGCTGGTGTGGAGAATTTCAAACTAATATTATACTAAAAATAAAAGATCTAGCAACAATTACCATCGTTCAGAGAAAACATTTAAAACATAATTACAGGGCACAATATTAGTACTTCCAAAGGCATGAGGATTTGTACTTTACCGATATTGGTGGGGGCAGTATATTCGTAGGCGTATTGATAGAACTTTCTGGCTGCTGCTGAATTCATCTGGATTAGGGTAACGCAGCGCTCACACCACACATCCTCAGGTTGGTTAATAGGAAAGAAAGAGTTGAATAGGAGATTCACTATGCGTCGTGACACAGGCCGGGAATCAACTTCAAGACGAGCCAGAAGATGCTCCATGGGACAGATATTCCAGAACTTTTTAAAGAGAGAAAGAGAGAAAGAGATATTAGTGGAGTTAAAAAAAGGGGGAAAAATTCCATTGCCTTTAATATGTGTTGTCTACATCAAAAGATTAAACAAATAGCATTAACCGGAACAGCAAGGGTATTTTTAATTTTTTACCAAAATACCAGAATTTAGAAGTCACATATTGCTGCAACAATGTTACTTTACTACTCTGACATACCTCTAAATCTCCCAGTATCTCTGTCAGTCTGGTAAAATTCTGATTCAAGCAATTGCACCTCAATATACCTGTGATGCTACTGCATTTCTATAGGTTCAGGGAAGAATTATTTACTCCACAAGGATATTATCACAAAATGTAATTACTTGTCATTATGTGCCAGGTTTCATATTCTTATCATAGGATAAAATAGGACCAAACTCCTGGCAGATGTTGTATATACCCTAAAAAACCACAACCAACCCAAACCATCCCATTGTTATCTGAGCTCTGGCTTATTGGCAGCAGAGTAATCAAAAGCCATGAAATTCAGAAAGAATAAGCAGCAGCTCGTTATGCCAGCAGCAATACTATTCACATTTGCAATTTTTGTGTGCTCTTGAATTAATGATGCTGCAAGCTTCCAGATTTTTAAAATAAATAGATAAATAAAAATAAATAAACAAACAAATGAAGGGTTTCATGGCACTGCACAATATTATTTTATTCTTGAAGAGAAATATTTGTAGTACCTAATTACCCTGTGATTTCAAACTACAGGCGTCCCTAGCAGAATTACCATAAAAAGAAGGCCCTTGGAGTAAGCATTAAAACAATCTCAGGATTTACCAGAGATATATATTACCGTTTTTAAATAAATAAGAAGTTACTGATAAAACATCTAACAGTTACTAGGGTTTTTTTCTTTTATGTAAACCTGATTGTTCCTGTAGAATATCTGAGTTTTTACTACATAAAAATAACACACAGGTGGATGGAAGACATCCATTATATGTAAAGAACAAATTAACATCTAAAAAAAATCCCTGAGGCCAAGAATTATCTTCTTCCTCTGTCTTTAATGGCAACAAATTCAGAATAATTCAGGTAAGCAAAAACATTATTTGCTTGAACTTTCATACTGAATAGCTAATCACTCTCAAAGAGGATTTTTTAAAATACATTTAACAGCAGCATAAATACTTTGTTTTTAAAAGACTACACACAAAGTAACATTAAAAAATACTAAGAATACTCTAGAAATTACGATTCAGATTTCAGAGTCAAACACTTTCAGAACAAGAGTTCCACGGTCTGTTTTTTCTGCTGATTCTGTGAACCATCTCCTAGCACACAGGTATCAGCAGCATGAGGTCCAGTGTCACTGTGATACTTCTGCCATTCCACCTCAGGTTTACCTGGTAAAGAAACTTCAGGGGAAAAAACCTATCTTTTAGAGCACTATCACTTATCTAAAAACTCTGAATTGCCTCCTCCACTTATCTCCGATAACCAGACTCAATTGTCTAAGGTAGAGCCGCACATTGCTAATCCTAGGAGATGTGCAAACAATTACTAAGATCCTGCTGGAAGCGTTTCATTTCTGAATGACGACACCTTGTACTTGCCGTGTTTGCCTCCATTTCATATTTTCTGTGGACTTGCCTTATGAAAGCCTTGAGGTATGTATTATGGAAGTACAAAATTCATTGTTGCATCATCCCAAAACCGTGTTGAAGAAGCTGAAAGCTTTCACTTTCAAAATCGCCTTCCATTTATTTTGTCTCCTGAGCTTATTTTGTGGACTTTGGAAGGTACTGAGGTGGTCTGATCTCAATATTTGTCTTTGAGGTTCTGTCATCAAAGCTGGAATGCACACAATTGGCAAGCAGGTAATTCTCAGGGATAGATGTGTTACTTGAGCAGTGAAGTCTTAAAAATCCTTCAAGTAGTTATTTAATTCTCTTCTGAACAACAGAGATAGATACTTACCTCTGACTTCATACAGTATATGTACCTAGCACAAGCTAAGCATGTCCTAATAAATTACGCTTAGCAAGAGATGAAAACACGATTAAAATAAAAATATAAAATTGAAATTTGGAAACAATTAACGGCAGAGTGGAGAAAGAGCTCAAAGATGCTCTAATGCCTAAGGCTGGACAGTACCACCCTAAATAAGAAAGAGTCCACAGCAGAACACAAAGTTCATTCAAAATCACAAACTGAAATTATAAAAATAGGTAAATAAAAGTATGTAGCAGGTAAGACAGTCCTGACTTGAGCAAGCGCACTGGAAGGAAGGGTGGCTGGGCCAGGAGAGGGCAGGGGAAGCAGGAACACACCAAGAACAAGGTCTGCAAGTGCCCATGGTGCCAGCAGCCACAGAAAAAAAAAGCAGGGAAGCACAGGGAGGCCACTGGACCTATTAATCATCCCAGACTTGTCAAAAACATGGGGAAGAAGAAAAGGAGAAGAGTGTATTTGGCTCAACTGAAAAAGTAAACTTTTCAGCATGCCCATAAAATCTCTGCCGTAGTAATATCCACACACAGTACTATCTCCTATGGCTCATTTTTCTTTGAAGAACAACTATGGAAAGGCTGAAAGTTCACCAGGAATAGTCACAATTTCTTTTTTTAAAATTGATTTTAAAAAGAATTTTCATGAACACCACAATTTCAGCAGAATTCAAAAAACCACTGGAAAGAAGTATTTCTGTACTCCTCCCTACGTTTGGATCAAAACCTTTAAAATGGGCAGAAGTGACTAACAGCAACTTAATCCACAGGTCTTACAGATAAACTCAGTAATGTGCTCAAATATACAAAAACGGGAAAAACCTGATACTAAGAGCATTTCTACATAAAGCTTGTATTTTTTTTACCTTCTAGGAATACTGCAGTAGTCTCAAAAGGTATTTTTTTTCTTATAAATAAATGCTTTGATTTTAATCTTCTTGCTACTTATCAAATGTCACTTATCCTACCTTAGCAGCCTTGGTAGCCTTCACTTTCAGCAGCATATCGACAAAAGCCACTCGCACTTTCTCTGAGTTGTCATGAAGACTGTGTTTGACTGCTGGCAGGAGCTGCTCCAGTAATGGATGACTCAGTTTGTTGTCCAAAATTATTGGTAGGCACTGCAAAAAAAAAAAAAATTATACTAAACCCCCACAAAATTTAAAGAGTAAATTTGAAAAAAGATGTAGCTACAAGTTGTTGAACTTGACTATGACACTTCTAAGGTTAAATTAAGTAGGGATAGACACTGTGTATGTACATTTTTCTTGTAATGTACATTTTTCTTGTAATGTTCTTCAGTAAAAATTGAAAATTTGAAGTAACTGTAGCAATGAACTGTGTTCAGGAGCTTCAGCTCAACACTGAGGCCACAGTCTTGCCTTCTACCCAAGGGTACAGTGTCAAGTACTTTTTGTGGTAGCAATACCAACTCTGTAAACTGCTGAGTTCAGATTAAAAGTACATCTTTTTTTCACCAAATCAGCAGTTTCCGCTTATCAAGTATGGATCCCCACGCAACCATAGTGGAGCAAGTAAGGATTAACATGAAGACAGCTCCAGTTTGAGGCTGAATTGACACATACACAAAACCTTGGGTGTGAAAACACTGCTTCCGGAGTTCATTTTGCCGTCCAAGATATTAGTTATTTACCAGATGCCAGAAAGATGTAGAGGAACTCATCCTAACATGAAGAACAATGCACGGGAGGCTGCTATTCCCAGAGAAACAGTATGTAATTCTATTAATCGAAACCCCAGAAACACAGGGAACAAGATCATAAGAAAACTGTTAATGTCTGGGGTGGGTTAAAAGCAGTAGCATAAAGACATACTGGAACCTGGCTACATCCATTTTTAAGTTTAAGCATAATTTCTAACAGCTAAAAAACCTAAATTATCACGTCCAAACAACGCATATAAGTAGTTGAGTCCCAAAGCCAAACAGTTGCTATTTTACAAGGCGTTTGTTCATTCCAAATGTGTGGCTTTCATAAAACGTTTGGAAAAGTTGCAAGTATTAGGAATATTGCCTAAGTCATTTTATAGAATAAGTAATTTCCCTGACTTGAAGTGGCCTATACCAGAAACCTGTACATCAAGTAAAATATAAAAATAACAAACTTGATTTTCAATTTTGAAAAAAATATTTACTTTAAAAACAGAGCATCGAACATCTGCAGATGTTATATCATATGCCAGCTCTACGGTGAGTTTTTTTAACAGATCAGCAAGAATTGTTGCAGGAATCATCTCCCAGTATTTGGATGTTATCTGAGTAACGCCGAGTATTCCTGTAGAGCGGACAACTGGATGAGGATCTTCTAAGAGACTCTAGAACACACAGAAGAGTAAGAATGTGAGAATGTGCATTATTGTGACTCTATCGCCATTTGACATTAACCTAACATAAATAGCACTCCATTGCCTTTTAATCATTAAGCAAATTGTCATGCCATGAAAGAACTGTAATATTAATATTGCCTTGAGACACTTTATTATGAAGCAAACGAGGAAATTTAAATCAGAAGCAAACTAAGACAAATATTAGCCAACTTTTTTTAACTGGATATTTGAAATATTTTAAAAGTAACTCACAGTAAGTCTTGCATCTATGACTTAATTAAGAATATTTAAATTTCTACTTACATGAGTTTACACTGGCTGTTGTTTCTACACAGCAATATAAAACTTGGAAATTCATTCAATTATCTGACGTTTATGTTTTTAAAGACCATACTCAGGATTTCCCAAACATAAAGATTTAGACTGGATCTTAGGAAGAAATTCTTCAGTATGAGGGTGGCAAGACTTTGGAACAAATTGCCCAGAGATGTTGTGGCTGCCCCCTCCCTGGAGGTGTTCAAGGCCAAGTTGGATGGAGCCTTGAGTAGCCTGATCTAGTTGAGAGGCGTCCCTGCCCATGACAGGGAGGTTGGACTAGATGATCTCTAAGGTCCCTTCCAGCCTAGGCCATTCTATGATAGTTCTATGATGCAATGATTCCATGATTTGCATGGCCTTGTGACATGGGTACCTCAGCGCGTCTTAAGAAAGGGCCCCAGCAGCTGGCTGACTCATTCGCTGACCGTCCAAGCCCTCGAACACCACCATGGCTGGCAGGAAGACGACCCACCATGGCACAGCGAGTTGTCGCCCACCTCTGCATGGGCAACAAGCAGAGAGAGAGGAGGAGGCGTGCAAGAGTACGCAGAAGC